GGCGGTCGCGGTCGCGGTCGCGGTCGCGGTCACGGCGGTCACGGCCGCGGTCGCCGCGTGACCGGCGACGGTCGTTGGAGCCGGCGTCTACGCTGCGACGGCGCTTGCGCGAGAACATGTTTGGTGTCCAGACGAGCGGTGCTGGCGGAGTAGTGGGAGCGTCAGCGTCGGGCAGCTTGGCCTCATCGATGGCGAGCTGAAAGCGTGCGGCAGCATCAGAGCTCTCGTCAAGGAGCTCGTCGACGCCGTCCATGATGGCCTTAAGGGCAGAGGTCTGGCGCTCAGCGTGGTCGGCGACGGTCTTGCCGAGCGACGACCAGAACGCCTCGTCGCCCTTGTACAGCTTGGGGTCGACGAGCGCGGTGGCAAGGACAAACGGAGTAGCGGCGCGGTAGACCGCGGTGGCGCGCGAGGCCCAAAAGGCCAGCTCATCAGACTCGGGCTTGCGGCCGGTGCAGACAGCATAGCGCTCCGACGAGACAATGCGCGACGACGGCGGCTTGACGATGCGGACGGCGTCAAAGACCTGGGCGAGGACAAAGACGACAGAGATGGTAAACTCGGAGAAGACGTCCGAAAGGCGCAGCACAAAGGCGCCTCCGGGACGGAGAGTGCGGAACATGGCGACAAGCTGTGCGACGATGATCCGGGCACAGAAGAGCTCTTCCAAGTTCTCCTTGTGCTGGGTGCCCGACGGGGCCTTGAGTAGGCCGTCGGCGACGACAATGTTGGCCAAGCCGTTGGCGGCGGCGACCTTTGCGAGTTCGTTGATGTTGTCCTCGACAAGGATGTCGCCAGTGGAAGTGGGATGCGGGCCGCGGACAGGGGTGAACTGGTCGCATGAGGCCAGCTTCGAGTACCACCGCGAGTGCGGCTCGACGCCCGGGCTCTCGAGGGTGATGCCTGCACCGTCTGCGGCTGGCATGTGATTGAAGAGGACCTGGGCAAACGAGCCCGGCCCGCCGCACAGATCAATAAAGAACAAGTTTTCGAAGCGATCGACGGAGCCCGGAGCAAGGAGGCCCGTCGCGGCGAGGACCTCGTCGAGCTTGGTCCCTGCCCTGTTCCAGAACCGTGCCGGCGCCGGCTCGCCGAGGAGAGCGGCGCGGACAGTGTAGTACGCCTTGGCCTTGCCAGCGTCAAAGACGGCGTCCATCCGCGACTTTTGCTCCCACAACGCATGGACGGTGTCGGCAGGCACCAGGCCAGCTTCGGTCATGCGCTCCACGTCATCCACCCCACGCAGGGCGCCCCAGGCTGCCGTCGCCAGCGGAGCCGCTTCCAGCTCGGCCATCGCCAGCTTGGTCGAGCTCGTCACCTCGCCCACGAGCACCTCGCACGGGATGCGCTCGACTGCGGACATGTGTGTATGAATAGGGGGGGGGGGGGTAAGGGGTAGGGGGGTAGGGAGAGAGATGGTGGTGGTGGTGGTGACGGGGGTGGGGGTGGGGATGGCGGTGGTTGGTGGGACCCACCTTCCGACTGGCAGTCGCTGCAGACGGCGGCGCAGGGCAGAGGGGATGGACGACCGACCGCACCACTGTGCGATGCTGGGGCCTGATGCACATACATGACAAGGATTGCGGGCTGTGGTGGATTGACGCTGTGTGTGTGAGCACCCCGACGCCATCCATTGGCTTTGTACTCTGCCAGTGCCTGCTACTCACCTTGATCAGCCCCACTGCCCACAGTGTGGCCATCGTCCCTTGCCCAGGGTGGCTGCCAGTGCTGCTGCGCCTCCAGCGTCCCTATGCCGTCGCCCGTGGCCACCCCCACGCCCCCACCCCCCCCCCCCCCCCACCCTCACTCACGCCCCTCCCCCCTTCCTTCTGACCATGGCTGACATGGCGGCCGGGAGCAGGTGCATGGCCGAGTGGCCGCAAGTGGGCGAACAGACGGCGGTGCCGAGCCTCAAGGCTGTCCGGGAGGCCCTGGTGGGCATGGGCGGCGAGCTGGTTGGGCCCTGGTCGGTCAAGGTCGAGGTCCTCTCCATCGGTGGCGGTGACGAGCCGGTTATCGAGCGGTCGGCACTCGGTTCGGTCCCTGCTGTTACTCTGCCTCTCCGGAGTGAGCGCCTCGTCTACCGATGGCGCTCCTCCTGCCATGCGCAGTCTGCGGTGGTCATGGTCGATCGTATGGTCATGGCGGCTGGCCACGCCCTCCTCGCCGTCGGCCCGCTCTTTGACGATCTGCATCCGCTGCGCAAGGTCGCTCTCGACGGCTTTGCCTGCGCTCTCGGTGCCTTTGTTGTCCACGTCGGCACTCTCACTGGGCCGGGCGCCGGCTCACGCCTTGTCATCGCCCTCGAGTACGCCTCGTCAAGCAACGAGGCTGAGTGCAAGGCCCTTCTTCTCGAGACCCTGCAGCATGTCGTTCAGGCTGCACACAATGCGAGCTCGTCAGGTGGCTCGGCGTCCACATCCGTCCGTCTCTCGGTCCGCTTGGTCACGCCGCGAGTCCAGACCAGTGAGATCGGGGCCAAGCGGGCGTCGACCAAGCCGCCCCCGGGCGAGCGTGCCGCCAAGGCCGCCAAGGCCACCAGCGGCGCACAGATAACTGGCAGCAGTGCCACCATCGACGTGGTCGACGTGCCGTGGGAGCGGTACTCGGGCCTGCCGGAGCACTTTGACGCTATGCACTCGGCGGTGCAGACCATCGAGTGCCTGCGGCTAATGAGCGTGCTGCAGTGAGGGTGCTGCCGTGAGGCTGTCGCTGCGACCCGATACGACAGCTGGTCTTCAGCCAATAGCAATAACACCGATTATCGCTCTCATCCGTCATCCCTGCCCCGATATCTGGCGTGGACCCGTGGATGGCTTGCGACGAGCTCTCCCCCAACCACCGGCCACCGGCCACTCGCCCCTCCCCCCCCCCCCCCACCACCCCCCCCCCTTTTACCACCAAC